TTATGTAAATGGTAGGCATAAGGGGGCTTTTTTGGGTTTTGCTTTTTGTAAATGGTAGCCACATTTGTTTTTTGGGTTTTGGCTGTTGGGTTATGGGAGTTGTGTACTGACATCAAGGCAACAACACCCTAAAAGCTCTATATGTAACTATGTAAAATGACAATCAACATATGACATTCCAAATTGTATTCACATATCATCATTGCTGAGTTTTTAAATACTAGGACTATCTGGCCACACCATTCACTACTCAGAGTCAGTTTAAGTGTAAACATGCTCATCATGGTAGGACTATAAATTCTCAGCCAAGCATCACAGAAAATGGCCTTACATTTCTCACACCCAACACTGTAACATGAGCATACCCAGATATTCAAACCCACATATTCTCAGAAATTCATCACAGAAAGTGGCCACATAGTTCATAAAGGCAGCAGTAGTGTAAACGGAAGCATACCCAGGAATTCAAAGGCACACAAGCATACCCAGAAATTCAAGCACCCACCAAAAATGAGGAAAAGTCAAAGTAGGAAGCTATTTCCCAGACAGAGGAACATTTAATTGTGATTAATTGCAAGGAAAATTTAAAAATTTAAGGATGTGAAAGGAACTTCCCCACTTGTACTGTGAAGCCCAAAAATGTGGATCAGGACATGGGAGCAAGATGTTCAGGATATCGATGTGGAGATGCATGCGTGAGTTTATTGTCTGAGTAGGCTCAATCTCACTTTTTTCGCACCAATCAGCATCATCAATATCACCGTCTAGAACAACGAAGTTAGGCTCCTCCCTCCTAAGAAGAAAAACAGTGTCTTTCTGAGATTCAAGAAGGACAACGTCCTTCCTCTCTCTGACCGGGGCAACATCGGCCATATCGTCGTCGCTGGCGATGACGATGACCTCGTCCTCCACCTTGTCAGAGATGAAATCCCCATCATCAATTCCAATATCCTCAAATTGTGTCTCCGGGATAATGGATTCGAAGCGCAAATCGTACGAATCCATTGCAGATCTAGGAGACGAAGCACTTGAGTTTGGAGATAGAGAAAATGAAGAGTTCAGATCGGAAGATGTGAAGGGTTTGAGGAGGATATGGAGATTGTGATCGGATAAGATAGGGAGAGGGGAGGAGTGAATGAGGACGGTTGACGATACATTCAATGAGGGGGGAGGGGTGTAGTTAGGAATAATGGGTGAGATTTAATGAGAGGGGTATTTTTGGAAGAGAGGGTATGAAAACGTAGAGTCGGAAGATTTTTTTCGGACGGGAAAAAAGGTAGAGTTGGAAGATTATTCTTGAACGGAGGGAGTATTATTTTATTAAATACGGATTAACTAACAAAAAAGAGAAAAAAATGGATACCAAAACTCACTTGAAAATAAAGTAAAGTTTACCATTTTGAACACCAAAATTCAATATTTTTAAAATTTTAAAAATTAAAAAATTACTTAAAAATAAAATAACAACACCGGCCAACCACCGGTCAGCAAAGGCGACCGGCGATAAGTGACGGAGGCAGCGCGGCGGCCGCAAACCGGCAATTGGTGGCTGGCGGCGGTCAGCGGTCAAAATCTAGTCAGCACCTTTTCTTTTAATTTTATTTTTTTAAAAATAATTTAAAGTGTTGAAAAAATATAGTGAGCTTTGTCTTACAGTTTGGTGAGCTTTGCAGTTGTCCTGGGTAAGCTTTGCAGTGGTGAGTTTTGCGTTATTTGACCGTAGTATGTCATCTCACCATAAGTTGATCCCTTATTTAATTATAAATTAAATGTTGAAAATGATTGTCCGAAAAAAATGAAAATTGGACAAATACTCAGGAACGGAGATAGTACTTCGTAAAACTATGGAGGAATTTATCTAAATAGTACAAAAATATACTAACTTTCCCAATGTAGTACGGAGTACTATATGTTTTTATTTTCAAATGTAGTACTATTTGTTATTATCCACTAGTCATTGTTCAAGTAAATATCCACTGCCACCGATCATTATTTAAACTAAGAGCCTGTTTGGGAATAGCGTTAGAGACTATCGTTAGCGTTTTGGATAAAATTTTAACAGTGCAGATTACTTTGAAAATGGTAACGCTAAACGCTGCCCGTAGATAGCCTTTTTAAAACGCTAACGCTAATTGCTAACGCTATTCCCAAACAGGCCCTAAGTATCCACCATTATTGGACATATTTCCCGCCACTAGACATTATTTAAATACCCTTTAGAAAATATAAAAATTTAAGTATTACATTGGAAAATGATCTATGTTTAAATATTATTTAGTTCAAATTTCACAAAAATACACAAGACTAGCTAACTAATCTAACCTACTAGCTACGTAATATTTTTTAATATTATATGTTGGCATTATACTCTGTATGTTCTATTTTAAAGATAAAAAATGAAGGTTCTATTTTGATTACTTTTTATATTTTACTTTTATTTCAATCTTCTTATCTATACATTATACTTCTCATATCATATTAAAGTGTATTTATTCCACAATTTTTATTAAAAATAAATTAAACATGCGTTAAAGAAACAATTCATTATACAATATAACACCGACGAGTATGGTTCTGTGATTTAAGACGACATTGTGTTAATATAATTTGATAAACCCCCATACTGATCCTATTGATCGAATTCCCTTTTTTGGGCATTTTTTCTTTGAAGGAATCGAGTTCCCTCTTATAATAAAAATGCATAAAAGGTACTATAAGGATATCTTATTTAAGTGTACCTTTATCAAAAAATACTCGCTTCGACCCTAAATTTTTTTTTATACAAATTAAACATAATCAAAATAAATAAATGATACTCCGTATGAAAATTTGATATCTCAAAACTATATCTAAGATGAATTCAATTACATTAAATTTATAGTATAATTATCAAAGAGTGTCACTTTTTGATTAAAAAAGATATTTAGTATCGAAGGGAGTAGCATATTTAAAAAAAATTACCACTACTATTTTTTTAATAATCAGTTTAAAATAATGTGTGGGCATGTTGGTAAGTTCACATCTAGTCAACTAGTCAAGTAGCAATATATTTCAAAGATTGTGGGCAGGGCCAGCTTGTTACAACTATGCAAAGATTATTGTGGATTCTCTTTCAAACCTTTTTTTGCTCATATAGTGACAAAAAAAGAATTAGTTTAGAGAAAGTGGGGTATCTTTGATTAATAGGGGCAAAAAGAGTTAACACTTTGAGATTTATTTAAAATGTAATATGAAGTGATAAAAAAAATGACTAATATGTTCTGAAACAATCATTTGAGTAGTTAAAATGAGAGTCATATTTTAATTTAACTCCAAAATTTGATGAATATCATATTGAACAATAATTTAATGATTTGTGTTTTTATTGAAGATGTGGACCAAATAATTATTCTCTCTGTTTCTGAGCATTTGTCTACTTTTGATTTTTTATCAAAATTAGTAAATTTTGACCTCAAATTCAATAAAAATGATACTCCATATATCTCAATTGAAGTCATCTATATCGGTTTACGATATTTGACTAAATTTATTTTCAAATCATTTTATATGAAAAATAATGTAGAATTGAAAAATAAAAATTACATATTTAAAAATTAAATCAAAAGATCTACAAAATTAGTGGTGACATGACTATATTATTTTATCAAATGACTAATGAAAATAAAGAAAAAAATAAATAAAATTTGACCATGTGATCAAATAGTAAACTTGTAATTTAATTTGGGACGAATGAAGTATTAGATATCAATACAAAAATAGTTTTATTATACTCCCTCTGTCCACAAAACAATTCTTGTTTTGAATTTTAAGAATTAAAGAATAGTATATTTTAATGTTGACTTTTCAAAAATATTCTTGGAAGTGACATGTAAAAATAGATGTGATGAGTAGCTTAGTAATAAAAAAGTACCCCGTATTATGTAAGGAAAAAAGTTTTGTAGGACAGATGAAGTATTTTTTATACCCCGTACGAAATATTTTTAAAATATTATTTTATCTAATTAATGTACAATATATATTTCATTTAATTATAGGTTAAAGTCAAAACTGAACAAATACAATTAATGAGTATCCAAGCATCCCAACATAATAAATACCAAGATCAACCCTCCACATCCTCTGCACTATTCCAAAAACAACACTCTGATCTACCAAAGCAAACCAAACTAAACCACAGAATGGCAAATGTCAAGAATACCCCTCTCATCATCATCCTTCTTCTTCTTCTTCCTCCCATGCAAATGGTGGTTAAAATGAACAATGTTGTTTCTGCAAGAGGGCCAATCTATGCCCCTCCAAATGTTGAGAGACTAACTGACCGTTTTACCCCTACCTCTCATCTTAACCACAGTTTCAATGTCTTGTACGGCGCTCAAAATGTTCATATGAAAAACAATGGCTCCACCGTTGATCTCATCTTGGACAAGTCTTCAGGTACACTAATTTCACATCATTTTTTGTAATATATATTTTTGATAATTTTTTTAAATATGTGAATTTTATTTTTTTAAATTCCATAACAATTTGTATCTAACATCATTTCAAAAGAGACGACATTATATTCTATACGTTGTTCGAAAAAAGACAACAGATTTGGAATGAGAGGACTACATGATATACTAACACATGTATGTTGGGGAAATCAAAGATAACATAGACTAATCCGATAGTTGTGTAGCACTTTCAGATTGATTGTTTTGGGTATTCAATCCAAAAATTAATTAGATAAAACTCAAGTTTTTGACAAGAACATATATGAATTGATTACGAATTTTAAAACTCTTCCTTTGACCAAGAGCTTTTCCAAATTCTTATAAACGCGGAGATGCAGTCGGGTCTTTTTCTAAAATCGCGCGAAACGTCAGAAAAACACAGGCATTTTTCCGAAAATAATAATTGAGGAAAAATCCAAAATTTAAAATTCGAATGAATTTTTTAACACAGCTAGGTGTGCGCTGTCCTCTTGGAACCCCCGTTAAGGCGGAACTTTTATAATAACAAACTCAACGAAGCGTGCACTCCGCACCACCAAACTTCTTTGATGATTATTTATTATGATAGCATTGGTCAAATAATTTTTCTAATTACATGCATGCAATAGGATGTGGGTTGGCCTCAAAAGAGAGGTATTACTATGGATTCTTCAATGCTGCTATAAAGCTCCCAGCAGGATTCACATCTGGAGTTGTTGTGGCCTTTTATGTGAGTCATCTTCTCTTTCTATTTTCCCAAACTACTCAACCCGGCCCCTACCTATATTTTGTACTTCCTTTCCTATATATAACGTGTTCTAATTAAATACTCTTCCGTCCCGTAAAAAAAAGTTTTTCAATTTTGACTTTTGGGTGATTTAATAAAGGTGCAGTTTGGTGTTTGATCTTCCACAAATGCCCTTAGGGTTTTTTTTTTTAAAAAATAATGTTTCACATTAATGAATTATAATAATTATGAAAAGGCCGGAGTAATTAAAAAACAAAAAGTAAGATGAGATGAGACGACGGGTGAGACCGATGTGGGAAAGTAGGATTAAAGAAGGGTATTTTAGTCCATTTTGGAAGAATTAAAATATTCTATGAGACGAGTAAGATGAACAAATTGAAATGTTTTACGGAATGTAGGGAGTATTTCATATAATTTGATTTGTTTTTTTTTTTTGTTTTGTTTGAATATTTAGTGTAGGGGTATGTAAAATGTAATAAAATTAAATTAAATTGAAATTGAGATCAGATGTCGAATGAAGGGATGTACCCACACAACCATGACGAAATAGACATAGAATTGCTTGGGTACGACAAGAAGAGAGATTGGGTTTTGCAAACCAATCTTTATGTCAACGGCAGCGCTCACACCGCCGGCGGCAGCGGCGGCGGCCGCGAAGAAAAGTTCTATCTTTGGTTTGACCCCACGGACTCTTTCCATCACTATTCCCTCCTTTGGAATGCCCATCACATCTTGTACGTAGGGTCTATTCCTTCTATTATACTCCCATTGCTCCATAAAATTTTTTCCCTATTTTGTAATGGCAAAGTTCTGTTCATCCTGGATTCTAGTGTCAACAGATGACATCATTCGAAACTGCTTCAATACTCCATTCGTAAAATGAATCATTCTTACACCGGAATACAGTATTCCAGTGTCAACGAAACCTTGCCGGTTTTATAATAAAATTTTTATTATACTCTAAAAAATTGTATCCGGTTTTGTATTCCAAAGGCATGCACCAACATTTTATGCTAGTGTGATGGTTTATAATGACACAAAATATCAATGCAAATTTTTTTTATTGAACTCACATTTTTTGACAGTGTGAACTGTTAAAATGTTGGTGCACCCTTTAGTGTACTCATAGCATGATTGGTTCTAGTATAACGACTAGAGCCGGACTCTACTATTCTAATAATATTAATTTAAAAGTTTAAGTTGATAGGTAAGGCTTCATCATTCTATATATGTTAGTGGTATTCATATATATATATTTATGGAGTGTGATTGGAAGTATGAATGTATGATATTTATATATGTAGGTTCCTAGTGGACAATATACCGGTGAGAGAGGTGATAAACAAAAGGCATCATGCACCGATGAATAATGTATACCCGGCCAAGCCAATGTCGGTATACTTGACAATCTGGGATGGGTCCCAGTGGGCCACCCACGGTGGGAAGTACCCTGTCAATTACCAATATGCCCCCTTCGTGGCATCCATGGGAAGGGCAGAACTGGAAGCCTGCGCCGCCCCACCATCATCACCACCATGCATGGAAGGAGAGGGGTTTGTGAAGCTGAGTGAGGAGCAAAAGGGGGGATTGGATTGGGCAAGAGGAAAGCATATGTTCTATTCTTATTGCCATGACACAACTCGATACAATAATGTCTTGCCCCCTGAGTGCTCTCCATCATCATCATGATGATCATGATCATGATGAATTGATGATGATGATGATGGTGACTAATTGATGATGATGATGATGGTGGTGATGATGATGATGAATTGATGATGATGATGGTGCATGGAGAATACGTTTCTACGTCATACATTCATCATACATCTGGATATAATATATGAGTGTTCGATCCATTTGTGCGTTTATTTCAATTCTCGATTTGTATTTAGAATATACGGAGTATTCATATATTGACGTATTGTTAGTTAAATTGATGTTATGTATATGCTCTCTCCGTCCACCTAAGATCTTCCCATAGCGTGTTATATTCCGAGTCTTGACTGACTTTATTTTCGATTCAATTTATTTGAATATGAGGATAAAATTTTAATATACAATCTATGTAGTAATAAACTATAAACTATATGAAAAGTTCTACAAAACTACTGGTGACAACACTATATTATTTTATGAAATGAGTAATAAAAATTAACAAACAAAGTAAATTAAGTTTGACCCTGTGAATAGTGTCTGGGAAGATCTATGGTGAACAGAGGGAGTATTTAATAATTGTTCATGCTCATTTTTTTGCACAAAATGAGGATTATTAAGAGCGTAAGATGAATAAAATTTTTTTATTGTTTTTATAAACGGAGCACCGTAAATGTTTTAATTGTGATAGTGTCCTTCGTGGGCAGTTAAATATAGTGGCCATAGGACTTGATTGTTAAAAGGAAGGAATTCGTAACTGGAACAAACAAATACGAGTATAAAAGAATAATTCTGCAATTATTTTAAAATTTCCTCTACTGTCTTATTAGAACCATCTAAAATAAAATAAATTGAACTAACAGTAAAACATAACATGTGAATAAACTAAATGATGAGCCTCATCCTCGAGGGTCATTTCAGACCCGGCCGGGCATGCGGACACTGAGAGGCTCGGAGATGAATTGAACCATGATCGTAGATTGGTGACAAAAAATGGAGCATGCATCTGGTACTTATAGAAACTCTATACTTAACGTAGTTATCGTCTAATATAATTGTCAAAAATCGAACATGTGAATAAACTAAAGCTCAACATTTGAATAATTAAATTAAGTTTTGAGGGGATACAAAATGACTTTTGCACAAATTTAATGTTAGGCGAGGAGGGAAGGCACGACAAAAAAGTAGTGGACGCGTGAACAAATGAGGTGACCAATTATATTGAATTTATGTATAATTAAATATACTCTTGGGATCACCTTTGTTCCAATCATGGAAATAAAAATCCCTATAGAGCAAATCAACCTGCAAATATGTACGGAAAAGATGAGCCCTATTATATTAAATTTATTTATAATTAAATATATTTTTCTCATAAATTGTAGTAAAAAAGTGTCACTATTTGACAAAAAATTAAAACAAGAAAAGTTGTTAAGAACATAGTTATAGTTATTGATGGGAAGTAATATGTGGCATAGTCCACATTTTCCAACTATTTACGAAGAACACTCAAATCGGATCTGTTTAATAACACTCAAGTATTTTCCAACTATTCCTCCAACCTAACTTTTGTTTGGAGACATTAATAAAAGTCCCATCTTTGTGTCAAAAAAGGGCAGAAAGTTGCAAAACCAATCCTTTGCCACATTCAATTGCAATAAGAGCTAAAGACGAGGAAAAACCACCACTACAACTACTCTATCTCTAGTAGAGACAAAGGATAAAACAACATTGGAAGTTGATACTGTTCTTAATTACTATAATTTCCATGTTTTCATGTACTAACAACTAAGACATGGCATCATAATGAGAGGCAGAGAGAATGTGAACCCGTGAAGAAACAATGTGTTGAGTCAACCTGAAGGGATCGGCCGGATTTCAGTTAAAGAGAAGTGCCAACTTTTGTAGGGAACTTATGTTCTCTTGATCTTGGAAAATGTCCCTGTTTCTGAAAAGTAAGTGCTTTGGGTTCCTGAGCCAAGTTGGTTTGCAAATGCCTGTGGGTTTGATAGCTCGATCCCCTGAAGAAAAAGAAGAAAGAAAACAACCCGTTAATAAAAGGGCAACTATCATTATTTACATAGTCCATATTTACTTTCAGACAATCAGACTGCTGCAGTAACTCATAACAAGTGATAGGAGTAAAAGTAATTAAAGACAGACGTTTTTAAGAAACTTTAAAAAAAAAGGAAACAGATGCTGAAACTTGCGCAAGCGGCGATGCTCTAAACATCATGTTAACATTCTTTGAAGCTGGAGGGGGGAATAGTGGTGATCCAAGTGATCTGCTGGCATCCCAACATCGCGATCCGAGTAATGGGAATAAAACACATGGTTGGTGTTGTGGATGGAGAAGGGGCCTAGACTTCGCATTCAACGCTAAGAGCTAAACTCACTGGAACATTAGCTGATGGTGGCCAGATCCAGTGTTGTTGACTGCCACATCCTAAAAATATTTTCTGCAAAGTGCCAAAAAGGGTGGACAATGAGGACACGATGGTCTTGACTTCAGCAAACTATTTCTTCCAAGCCTTTTTGTCCACGGCTAAGTCGGAGGTGTATAGTTCCAATAATTGGTCTTCCAAGTCCTGTTGGCTCTGGGTCATGCTTTGAAATGAAACATTTCATCGTTGCTTTTCATTGCCCCTCGTTTCTGGATACTGAATCCAAGTTGATAAGATGAGACGAGGGAAGAGACAAGTGATGGCCGCGAGGAGATACGGTGATGGCAGAATTAACTCAGGCCTCTCAACCTTGACAGAGAAAGAAGTGGCACCCAGCCTTGTCTGAGACACAAGAGTTAATTTTTCCAAAACTGCTATATTATTCCAAACTAAATACCCTTACATAGCTATTGCAGGATTCCCAAATCCCAATTATAAAAGGAAACGGAGATATAAATCTAATACAGCTCCTCTAAGGAAAGTACTTAAAGACTGAATTAAAGATAAAGACTGAAAGTTATAACAGCAACAATTAACACTGCATAATCCCAACTTTTTTGGGGTCTGGGGGGTTCAAGATGTACGCAATATTATCCCTTTTAAATAAACGGAACACATGAGAATGCTAAATAAATGCCAATAACAGAATAGTATCAAACCTGTACAGGAGTAAAGCTTAAACTTGAAGTCAGTCCTGATGTAGCACCGCTGCTTCCATAATTCCTATCCTTAAATCTGCACATATCAAATTTAAAATTCACTTGTTAAGTTAGAATCACTCAAACACACATGATACATGCATGCATACATACACAAACATATAAATAAGAACATGAACTAACATACTTCTTAGTTACTTTAGCTTGAAGCTTGCTTCGACCAAGTGATACACGTAATTTTCCACTTCCAGCCTGACCAAGCATTCCATATCCCTCGCCCAAACCATCCCCTATATTCCATAAAGACAATCAATTGTGAGCAAGTGAATGGTAGCAAGGAAACATTGAAAATCTATAGAAACACAAAATGGTTGTGAACATCTTTATTTGAAAGGTTCATTTAAATACAAAAAGAGGGGATACAATTATACCACTTTCACTTTAGGTAAGTTTTGCTTGAAAGCAATCAAAGAGAAAGTTATGAGCGCTATATAAAAAAAATGGTGCAAGTGATAGTTGTGTTAGTGTATCCCTCAAAAAAAACTCCGTATATGCTAGAACCAAATTTCATTGTTGATGCCAAATTTGATCCATTGGGCATGTCTAGGCTATCCCTATTAGGGTTAGGAATAATATTTGTTATTAGTATAATTATTACTCCCACTGTCACACTATTTTTGACCATTTTTAGTTTTTATGTTTGTCCCACTATTTTTTACTCATGCCATATTTAGTACTCCCTCCGTTCTTAAAAACACTTTCTCTTTCATTTTTTCCACTTCCAACAAAACACTTCCCTTTTCTATTAAAAAGCCACTTTTACCCTTACTTTTTCATACCCTACCTATCACATCATACTTTTTCTCTAATAATCAATCCATCACATCTTACTTTTACCCATCACATCAGGGGCAAAATTGGAAGTCAATTATAATTTTACACTTCCTTATTTTGGCTCCAAGTCAAAGTAGGAAGCTTTTTTGCAAACGGAGGGAGTACATTTTATGCCTCGCATTTATTCTTACTTCTTCTCACTTTATAACTAAAATACCAACCACGCAATTTCATTTTTCTTAATTTGTGTGCCAATACCTCATGTCTCAAAAAATAGTGGGACAACAGGAGCAATGTTTTGAAAATAGTGATATAGGTAGCAGTTTCCTATTATTATTTTATTATTATTGTCATTACTATTATTATTATGTGTAATTAGTCCTGTTGTTATTATTAATATTAAAATCATTAGTAGTAGCATAGTCTTCTGTTTAATTTAGTATTTTATTTAATAATAATATTCCTAATAACAAAATTTTAACAGATTATAACTCTTGGGACTAGTATAAATAAAGGTGCTATATTTATCAAGAGGAACATCTATAATTTTGGAGTCAATTCATGTGTCTTTGGCAAGAACAAGCACCAAAGGGCGAGTAGTTATCTATCTACATGGCTTTCCTTCTTCACCATCTTTGCTCCCCAGCCATGGTCTTAACAATCTCCCAAAAAGGGAACATGTTGGAAAAACGAAAGAGAGAAGCAGGGAAATAATACAGGTGAAGAAGGGAAGAGATATTGTAACATACCCAATGAGCTCTCTTCAGGTACACCAAACTGCATTCTGTTTGCCAGCTTCCGCATGTCTGTAACAGCATACCTGGTGAAAGTTTATAAACAGACCATGTTAAGTAATCCCTATTATTAAATTGCGCAAAAAAACAATAGAGGTCATTTAAATAATCAACCCTATAAGTTGGAAGAAACCATCTCATCAGTACCTTTCTTTCATCTTTCTCAGTCTGCGCCCACCCCGCTTTTTTTTAGGCTCAGAATCTGGAACA